GCATGGATTAATTTTTTTAATATATAAATATAATCTCTAATATTTCCAAAACATCTTCTGAAAGCTATGCAAAAAGAGGGTCCAGTACTATGTGCACAAACTCATGGATCAAAGGCTTTATTTTATTTTTTAGTGTTCCCTACTGGCTCTTTCCACAGTCTAGCCTTGTTTGTGCCCTGCACTCACTGTTGTGCTATATTGCCATACATATAAATTGCGAACCATGCATTACACAAGGGGACAAAAAAGGACCTATAAAACTACACTAAATTGAACTGCACAAAAACTTGTTACAAATGTCAAATTAAAAGCTCCGCTTCTTATCTTTAATGCACCTCTGAGCCTGACAGTGTGTTGTGCCTTTATCCCCTCTTTTGACTTTAAAATCTCCATTTCTCTCCGAGCTTTGAGGGTGTGTGCTCTGACAGAATGTCAGGCAATTAAACAGTCATGGCTCATTGAGCTGGAGGTGGGCCTGCTCCTCCAGGCTCCTCTATAGGCAACAGAAGAAATGAACACAAGCACTCCCTGCCATCCCTTCCTCATTCTTTGACTTGCAAACTTAGCAGTGAATCTAAACAAGAAGTTGTTATCAAAGGACACTTTAAACTGCTGTCAACTTTCACTGGGCTGAGCAGTGTCACTGTCGTGGGTAATTATCTCGTGCCAGAATGTAAACGAGAACAGTGTGTGGGACAACAAAGATGTGTTCTCGCAGGGTACCCAGTCATGTCCCTGCTGCGAGATGAACACATAAACGCAGCCACAGTAATGATGGCAGGAGACAGCTGCTAGCTGTACCTTTACACCACTAAGCACTAAGGTAAAAACAAGGCAGCAGTTTCAGTTTATATATACAGCACATACTGTAAAAATCTTGGAGTAAGACCAAAGTGCTTTACAACTCTACCAAGCTACAGAAGGCTGCTATCGTTTGACGTTTGTGCTTGTGTATTCTTTTTCTTTTCTTGCTTTGATGTGAAGAGAATTGTGACCAAACTTTCAGTGAGGAAAAGTTGTACTGTGATACAAACGTATTTTGGTACAGCACTGCAGCATTACAGCATACAGTGTAGGGTAAGAGATTATTTCATAAACACTACTGGACAGTTGATTTTCATAAATCCATTTGCACTAGAACCTACTCAACTCGATGTGATTTTTAGTGTTTTCCATTAGGTAGCAGTGCCTGGTACAAAGTACTTTTTTCGTATCTGATTGGCCAGTCATCACTCGATGAGTCATGAGAGCGACTCCTTCACAAAAATCAGACCTTTTTCTTTTCTGAAACCTGGCAATGAGGAAAATGGCTGCACAAAAACCAACACTGCGGTCCCCGAGAGTGACAAAAAGCCACAGACTGAACAGCTAGTTTACCATCGCCTGTGTTGTATTTGTGTCACATAAAAACGACGTCACAGGACTTTTTGCTGTGTTGCTATAATGACCCATGATTCTCAACTGTAATGGAAAATAATAATACCAAGTAGAGTCGAGTCGAGCTGAGTCAAATCGAGTAGGTATTAGTGGAAAAGAGGCTATAAAGAAGTCCTGGTAACTTAAGTTCAATGGACTTTGTTTAACTTTTGTACTATGTGTTCAGTCAAGTTTTCAGAATTAACTATTTACATATATTTATAAATGTATTATACCTAACCTCAGCAGTGACACATATCTAACAAACCAGGAGTACTGTAACATATACCTGCAGGCGGTTACGGTTATAGGCTGTTATCTCAACTGCAGAACTTTGACAGAATCATCAGACTTCTCAGGAGGTAGAAATGTACAAATAAACAAACACTTTGTCACAGATCCACTCGTGCATTTTAGGACAATTTGTTTTCACATGGTCTCGCTTGCCAACATTAGATTACTGGCTGGATGCTAACAACCAGTTTTACACAGTTAGAGGTTTGACAGCTGGAGGTAAAATGCAGGACTTCACAGCAGATGAATGAGACATCTAAAACACATTCACTCGTCCAAGGTACACCACTGCACACTAAATCAGGTATCAAAAGTATATTGTGTCAATATTGTGTCATTGTCCAAAAGTATTTGGACAATGACACAATCTTTGTAGCTTTGCTTATGCACACCTCCTCAGTAGATTTCAAATCCACCAATCAAGATGTCATTTAAGAGCAGACTTTAATCTTTACTGCAACATTTTTTATAAATCTTCTGAAATTTTTAAATGCTCAAAAGTAATTGAACAAAGACAATTTTAAAGATAAGGACTGTTAGTAATACTTGAATGAAGGTCTAGAGCTCATGGACATCACAACTCATTTTTTCCTTCTTTGAGATGCAAGGACTTTACTGCTTTTACCTTCTGTTTCTGAAAGTTCTAGACTTCAATCAGATCCTGATATTTAATATACAGCCAGGTATTATTATAGATTTTTTTCCCCATTGTACTGTAAATAAGTGAACTGCATCAACACACTTTGATTCTGTATGTGAATTTGCTTCCACTTGTTATTTGTCCAGCATTTCTCTTGCTTCATGTTTTCCAAATTGTCTATCAACGTTTTGCCAAAACCAAAGAGATTCACAAGACTAAAGATGGGAAAGATCACAACAGCATCAATAGGCTTCTGAACATAAGGGTATATGGGTACAAAAGAGAGCCATTCTACTAACAGCAGTAGGTGCAGTGGCTGTCTTTTGCTTGCTTTTTGTGCAACACAGCATTGAAAAACTGAAGCAAAACTTCACACAAGGATCTTTCCAGAGAATGTTTTAGTTTAAAATGGGATTATGTATAAATAGCTCCTGACTTCATGTCTGTGCATTTTAAGGTTTTTGCATTCTATTTTGTGAGATGAAATGACACATGAAAAAACTGAAAGCTTGGATGTCACTTCTGCTGTGAAAAGACACAAAAGGAAAAAAAATTGCAGTGATAATTCCTAAAATGACATTTTAGGAATCTCATATTTTATGAGATCAGACTGCACAGCTGACCGCTCAATATATATGTCTGGTGTCCAAGAACAAACAATACCCCAGGAAGAACAAAAAACTGCAAGATGAAATAAGCCTGATGAATAATGGCATCACATTCTAGGTTGGGCAGATTAAAATACATTTCTTTGGATCATTTTGGAACCTGGATGTCTAAAACCAGATTAGGACTACTACAGTGATGACAAAACATGGAAAAAGGAGTATACTGATATGATGTTCTTGCGTATATACCAAATGAAGACATAATTCTCAGTCTCAAGAAGCATCGCATTCCAGACATAACTCGAAATTCCTCATCTATTTTAAAATGGAAAGCAGACCAACACAAGTTAAAAAGAATGATCTTGAATTACTTGGGTTATAGCCCACGCCTTTATAGATGAATTTTTAGTGTTTTTAGTGAAAACAATGTCTGTCTGGTCAGCATCAAGTATGAGGCAGACAAAGTCTCCTTAAACAACTGACTGAAGCAGCTATGTGGTAAAGAGACAGCTATTCCCAACTGGGAATTAGTGGAGATCTAAAATAAAGCTAAAAGGACAGGATATGCCCATCAAATTGGTTGAATTATGCAAATGTTGCTCGATATCTGCTCGAAGTGTTTGTTAACAAATTCACAATAATATTGAAAATGTCAGAGTTAATTTGAGGGCTTGTTTTGTTTCCCTCAAGTTGCCACGAAAATCTGACCAGCATTTTAGTGCACAGTATGAGTCAATATAGCTCAGTAGGCATATTTCATATTATGCACATTTGAATCGGAGGATACCAACAGCAAACATATGGTAAATTATATATATATATATATATATATATATAAACTTAATACAGCGCTTTATACAACATATCTTATTCACCCATTCATACAAGCACTATTTTCTAGACTTATGTGCTTTCTATCTAACAGTCATACACATTCATACTCCAGTGAGTGCATTGCGAGTTCAGTTGGCAGACTGGAGCAACGACAGATCGAACCACCAAGTTCCTGATGAGCTACTCTAACTCGTGAGGTAGCGCCCCCACCTCACCCAGCCACACATATCTGTGGCAAGTATAGTTTTGATTTTGAACTGGAACAGTTGGACAAAACTAAAAGATAAGTCAAGAATCTTTCTTTATTTTTCATAAGCCAAACATCACATGGTACAGCCTATTATAGAAAACCCACAATTTGCAGCATTCTGTGGCCAGATCAGCATGGATTCCTCAGGCATGTTGATAATAGAATTTTCTGCTCACGTAAACTGGTTTAGTAATAGTATGTCAAAAAATAAGCCCTTGCCACTGAGCTCCATTTTGCGAGAAGCTCTAAGGAGGCTTATTGCCTAGTTATTCGGGAGCAGTCTGGTGCCCCCGTATCACTGTACCATTATAGCTGCTGCTGCTGCTCGTAACACTCCCCCACCAAGACTTCACAGCTCTCCCTTCTGTCAGCTGTGACGGAGCAGGTCATTTGCTGACTGGTTGGGATCCTTGTGGAGTTGACTCTATTAGCTACAGCAATGAGAGTTTTGGACTAGGATGTGTCTCGAATAGATGCGGCGGTTGATGAACGTTTATGTTGGATCTCGGAGAGGCATCTTGACTAGCTGAGAACACCGTGGCATGTGTTCAACAATCCCTGCGGTGTTAGCCACTCAACTGTAAAACGCTGTGCTTAACAGCTGACACTTCTGATGCCACGATATACCACATTATCAAGCTTCGAAGAGTTTTGCATTAGAGCACCTTATAAATCACAGGAAACATTTTAATGAGAGTATTTGACATTGAATCCCTTGGGAGATGAAAATGAGAGTATGACACTTAGCACACCAAGTGCTGCATACCACTGGGATTTACAAGTCCCAATGCTTGCTTGCTAGAAATCTCTAATGCTTTGAATACAGAATTAGAGGAGTGTGTGTGCATCCCCATCCACACAATATAAAAAAAACACAATTTCTCCTTGCAGTTAATGCATAAAACAGTGCAAGATAACGGTCCCAGCAAAAACATAAGTATAAAATGTTGAACCTTACACTGTGTTGCATCGCATTCCAAACAATCCTCTGGTTTGCAGCATAAAGGCAGGGAAACAGAAAGTCTTAATTAATTCAGCGTAGGTGGGAGAAATCACTGACGGACATATAACGCTTAAAAGCCAACTGCTGTATATAAGACATCAAAAATGCATCGAGAATGAATTAGATAAAGTGCAAAAAACATAATTAGGACTGAATAAAACAAATAGCTCATTTGTTGTTGTGGGATTTCAAGAGCCAGATGGCAAAAAAAGGCTGCTTTTCAAATTGTGTACCCATTAACTAAATAACCTATTATTAACCTCACACAGAGAACTAAGACATTCGATTTGGCAGGTTTTAAAAACTATGAGAAATGCGGCTGCCATTCACCAAAACAGACTGAATAATTTTCTCCTTTTCAAGGTTAAATATTACAAGCATAGCAGATACATTTTGAAAAGATTCAATGCGAAAGGCCAGGTATAAGAGAGGAAGGGTAAAAGGAAGTAATGCTGCAGGATAATACACAAGCAGAGCTGTCTCTCAGCCAAATTGGACTGCCACCCCCATGTTAACCTTTACCCCGATGCAGCATTTTAGGTCTCAAGGTTCTTTGAGATGGAAATTCATGTATCAAGATCCTATTGAACAAACATACAGATTATCTGACAGAAAATAAAGGTGCGCCTTCAAGAAGGAATTGATATGGTCAGCCTCACAAAAATCTATCCATCTCCCTTCTTCCCCTTCTCTGTTTGCCAAGTGCACGGGGATGAGAAGGGCAGTGAATGCAGTACATCACACCTTCCCATGCCGTCTTTGGGTAAAGCTGTTGATTCGTTAACAAACACAAATCGATAGAAAGGTCTGAATGGAGGACAAGTACAAAGAATTAATTTCCGGCTCCGGGGGCTTACCATGGCAAATCACCAGCTTTAATCAACAGTGTCAAGTCAGAAAGATAAATGATGTTTACACTGAAGCAGTGTCTTGTCTGAAAACAGAAAGCATTGGCTTTTGTCTTCTTACCAGTCTGTCTAAGCTTGTGCCAGTTGCAGTGGTAGGCCTCTCCTCTGGGCTGTAGGGCCTGAAGCGGGCGTTGAACACATCCGAAACACCACGAGCAGACCTAGTGATTCCTGCGGGTTTTGGCTGACCACAGCCTTGAAAAACCTACAATTACAAGAACATGGGTACCCAACTGTCAACAGTTTAAATTACTTGGGATGCAGAAAATAGGTAAAATACACTGTTTGGATAAGGTCTTGTGAATGATTCACCCCTGACTACCGTGTGACAGTGCTTTACGTCAAGTTGAGGCAACCATGTTGATAGGTGATCCGACTAGGAGCTGTGACCAGTGCTATTTAAGTTTGTTGAGTTAAATTTTTACGGGCTTCTGGTAAAACACCACATATACTTAAGCCATAAACAAAACGGCATCTGGTGCATGGGAAAGGCAACTGAGCATTTAGTTTTGAATTGGAACGGGCATCTAATTCAGTGTAGGCAGAAAAATATTCTTCCTCCTTTCTGTCTACAATTTTGTGGGCAAAGAAAAATGCAGTAAAACACAGGAAACACATTAACTACTGTTAGTTGAACTAAGATTATCTGACCAACTTGAAACATATAATTCAAATACAAGACCTAAATTTGGACTTAATTAGAATGTGTTGTAATCCACACCTTAGTCACAGCCCAGTATGACTTCCAGCAAAGCTTATTCCTCATTTTGTGACGAAGTTGGACTTCGTCAGCCTGTCTGAAGTGTTGCTTTGGTTCTTAGAGAAATGTACCTAATTGACATACCCTGTAGGAGACCTGGGCACTGTTATCTTGCATAATCATGATGGCCTCTGAAATCTTGACATCAATAGGCTCCATGACAGATTCAATGTTGAAAGGTCCCTCTAGCCTCTGCGCCACCAGCAGCATGGCATCTGTTATATAAAAAAAAAGGTGTGGTGTTGGAGGAAGAAGAGCAAAGGTGCAAACACACAGTTGGTAAAGTGCTCACAGACAAAAATAACTGTCAGTACAGCAACTATTAAAAAAAAAATGACTGCACTGCAAGGTCCATCTCAAATTACAAAGGCCTGTTTACATGCTTGGTAAACGTAGCAGTCCAATAATAGTAAAGAACACACTGCAAGAAAAATACTGTATGATTGACACAATGCCAGAAATTCACTGTGAAAACAGAAACCACAATCATCAAGTACAAAGAAAAGTCTCCACTCATGTCCCTGAATTCATTTACATTGCGGTGCTGCTCAATTCAGTGGTGTGCAATTGCAATGGGTCTTTATTTAGGTGCCAGCTATAACTGCTCACATTTTGTTTATGTGGGTTTGTGTTTCCAAACGCAGTGCATAGTTTTATCTAACTGGTAAATTAAAAAACGCTTTTGAATATTTTTCTCTTTATTTTGAAGCTGCTTTCAGTTGATTGTGTTTTGGGCTCTTTTGGTTTTCACAGAAGGTGAAAAACAACAGAAAACGTAATAAAATGGTACTAATTGTACTAATGGTGCAATGCTATGCCTACCTCTGATTAATATTGAAGCAATTAATTGACTGGAAAAAATATGTCAACCTCCCTAGGAATTTTTAATTCATCATTTATGAAAACACACACACGCACGCACGCACGCACACACACACACTTCCGTTCAGGTTTAAAAGTGCAGATATGTTTCCTCTCTTTGGCTTACTTCTCTGCAGATAAGCAGATAAACAAACATGACAATATTTGCTATATTGTCATGGAGCTTTTTACAAAAAGGACACAAACGGTTTACAATTTGCAAACTACTACATCTTCTTTTCTGATTGCTGCACAGTATTGTCATTTACCACCTTCCCATCTCAGACTGCAAGCACACTTACGGAGCATGAATGCTTCTTGAGGCAAATTCAATTTTTATGTAGATCAACTCAATCAAGTCTACAAAATGCTGTTAGGCTCCATGTAGTGAATAGTGCTGATGAGTAATTGATTTAATAGAACTTTTGAAAGCCAAGCACTTATTTACATACGCTGTGAAAAAGGTCAATGGCTCATTAATATTGTGTGGACACAAGCCAGAGGGCCTTGTTGAACATGATACACTTAACATATCATCTGCACTTGTTTTCATCGTTTTTAATGAACATATTTGCAAGCTTTTCAAAAGGATGTTGCATTCACATGATCTAATATGTACAACTCTGTATGGTTCACATTGCACAGTACCTCAGACTAATTAGGCAAACTGCTGTTGCCCTTTAAAGGCTCACTGAGTAAACTGAAACACTGCTAATGTTGATTTATATCGATGTGCTAGAGTCTGTACGGTGGCAGCTCTGAGTTTGACTGCCGTGCCACAGGTAACTGGACATCACCAAACCACTCATTCATAGCTAAAGGCCCATTTCTGCAGACAGTACAGAACATGCATCTCCATCCACAAACCAGAAGGCTGGTTTGTGGATAAGTACTCCACAATTACTTTGTACCTAAATATAATAATCCTGTCATTTGGAGACTTCAGAAACAATGATGTCTCACTGTACATGCTCCATGATTCCCTTAACAGTTTATTTTATCTGTATCAAAATTCCAAAAGCAGCTTGTTGGTTTTTGAAGAATAAATTATGTATTTCTTTTGGCTTGCTACTCCAACCGCCCCACCCATCATAGGAAAATAAAATAATGTATTCCCAAACTGTGAAGGAATAGATAACATTCCATGGGGAACAGACCAAAAATGGCGACTGAAAAGAAAACATTAAAAAAAATAATTGACCTTACACAAAAAGCCAGCTGCAGACATGAGAAAACATACTGTAGTGCAAATATTGTACATACCACCCGGACACACACAAAACAAACAAATGAAAAAAAGAATATCTAAATTACACTTTAGTGCTTTGATAGCAGACCTGTCCAGCTTTTCATTCTTCTGGGACCTTAGATCACTAATGGCAGGGGAAAAAAGCTGAGAAACATTAACTCAGCTCTGCTTCCATTTCCTTTCCAATTATGTCAAAATCAGAGCCTTTGAAGAGCCCCTCTGTTTGTTTACACTGTGAATTGCAAATGGCCTGTGATTCTTGCTGAGATCTTAATATACAGATTACATCAGTGCCAAATGGTTTTCTACAGCAGCACTTCAAGTGCACAACTGTGTAACCATATGGTCTAAGTGTAAAAAAAAACACCTGCAATGGCCAAAGAAAAAATATTTTTGCTGTTTGTCTATTAGCAGCCATGGCAATCATTTTTAGAAAAGTATTTTTAACAGCGTACTGCAGTTTAGTTTGACTTTCTTTTTGTGTCCTTATATTCCTTAAAAAAAAAAAATCTGAACGTAGCATTTCCATATTGTTTGTTATTTAATGTGATTAGAATGCAAATTCATTCAACTGCCCCAGGTATGTCTGCTCACAAAAACAAACACAGGTAAAAGTATATCTAAATTCAAGCTTAAAAGCTCTCAGTTGCAAATACTGAAAATTTAGGTCAGCAGCGCCAACTGGGAGCAACTTGTATTTCATCACAGGAGAAAAGAAGAGTGCCTCCAGGATCAAAAACGATGGCAATCTTTCCCAGCAGTGGTGACTTATCTGCAACTTATCAGATGGGCTCAACAAACAGAGAGCTAGCCCGGGAACTTTGTCTTTATACACAGCTGAGGGAAAGCAGAGAGTGTCACGGGGGGAGGCAGGGAAAGAAGAAAGCCGGAGAATAAGATGTGGTTCTGGGTTGAGTGAGGCTAGGACTATAGGTGTGTCCTATAGAGAGATGGGCTCCTGCGCTACATGTGAAAAACTCTGCCTACATGGAGAATTAATGACTCTCATTTATGAGGAGTGCAGGAAGTCCAGTCCACTGTGGCACAGCTGCCACTCTGAGCCAAATTTTCCCTGCATCACTTTTGCGCCACTGAGATAGGCTACTGGCCAGCCAGAGGAAATCTTGTTATCAACGCGACACAGCCATGCAAATAGACATATCTTGTCCTATTCTGAGCAGGGGTTTTTACAGCTGTGACTTACTGGATAGAGACACAGAAATCTAAAAGACACCATGCCTCGAAACCACAGCACGAGCCAATTATTTTTACTTCAAATTGGAGGTTAATATTTCAGTTTGTGATATGAAACATGCTTATTTGCCCCGCCTTACTCTTGCCTCTGCCTCTTTATCGAGATTGATGTCCACTTAAATTCAGGCTATGTCAGCCAGCAGCAACCTCCAGCAGACAAGGACAAATAAGGAAAGTGAACAAGCCCATCTATGGCTCTTTGCCTGTGAAGAGTTCCACAGGATGAAAAATGGCTCTAGTGTGATTTGGATTCTGTAAAGCATACCTCATCTGTGGTTCAGTCAACCAACTAATAGTGCTATGAAACAGTATAAAAATGGAAAGGAAGAGAAAAAAAGGCATATTGTCCCTTGGACACATAGTCATGATCAAGAAAAGGAGTCCTTGAACATAGACATATGTGCACAGCCCAGGGTTTAATAGCCATAAAGAAAAAAAATGTATCAAGTATTATGATTTATTTTATTTTGTTTGTTTGTTTGCTTTTTATATTAAATGTTAAAAATGTCTTTAACGGGCTACTTAAAAAAAACAAAAACAAAAACTGACCCCTCTTTTCCCAAAAGAGTAGTCTACTTTACCAACTTTTAGACGTTTTGGTTCATTAATCGTTTGATAAAGACTATAAAGGCACACAAGGCAATATTTAGAAAAGCTGGGGCCTAAATCTTAACCCTAAATAAAAAAATCTTTTACTAGAGATCATTTCCTCTGCTGCTAACATGAGGCAAAAACCCCCCCAAAAACAATCTTGTACACATCTAGTGCAAGATTAGATAAGACAGTCAAGATTAACAATATCCTGACTTTTTCCTTAGCGTCCTTAGGAGATTGACAAATCTATGCACACAATTTTGAGTAAAATGTAGAGGATGTAAAATTTCGATGCAGGAGACAGGCAGGATTCACGGAAAGGAAGCCTTTTTATGAGGCTGAGTGCAAAAAGTACACACAAAACAAAACAATATCCAAAAAAAAGGCGACACAAAATTAAAACCACAAGTCACATGATGAAAGACAGGACAGAATTACAGTCACTGAGACAGAGACCAAAGGTAACGCAGTACTTTTATGCCCAAAAGGGTAATCAAGAATCGGAAGCAGGATGCTAACGAGACACAGCTGAAGACAATCAAGATGATGACACAAGTGGGGAGATGTAAGCGAGAAACAGTAACTACAGCGGGAAACAGATACATGCATGAACTTCACATATTGAGATTGATACACGAGGAACAAAAAGCAAATGGTTTTGTACCCTTTTAATTGATTTTGTACAGTTTTTTCACTCCTCTAAGGATTTAGTTTAATGATTTATTGGTGTTTTTTATGCACTATAACTAAAAAAAAAAGTGAAATTCTTTATCTGAACCTTAACCTTCAGCAGTACTTTGTTTGTTTATTTGGTGATTACAAAAATTTGCCTTTTAACCGCTATAGAAAAGCAGTTAGCAGGCAACACAGAGAACTGCCTTCTAATCCGCTGCATTTTTGCCATGTCATTGTGACATATGTTAGCATTTCAGTGTTAGCCCCAGTGGTCTTTTGATCTAAACGCTAACAGAGAGTCAGTCAAATAGCTCAGTCTTGTACAAAAACAAAGCCTGAATCATTTAGCATAATTCATGTTCAGTGATGATGGCAGCAATCTAAAACAGTAGGCAAGACTTAAAATGCAAAACCCAAGAGCAACATTGACAATGTACTGCATGGCTAATCAAACTAAGAGACACAATCCGATAATGAGCTATTCACAATCAGATCGTGTTACTAATGGGGCTGGAGATATCATGAAATTTTGTGTATGGTTTGCTGACTGGACTGTTTCTAGTATTTTGCCCACAATTATGT